TCTTAAATCAGCAGAATCAGCCAATTCAGCCACTACAATAATACCCAGCCCAGCACAATAATACAATACCAGGCCCATTCTCAACCCATTACACAAAACCCAACCCAACAACCTAACCTAACCCAACCCGTCCTATATAAACTCTCTATACCCTACGTTTTACACATTTGTTCAGTGGCTAATTCAACAGACCATCGGCTACTCCGATGGCTGCATACCTCGTTTTCTCTCGTTTTCTCTCACTCTCTCTGTATTATTATGCTGAACCTCCCTTTGGCGGATGTTTTGTAAACGGTGGCTAAAGTCACGCATTTGCATCATATGTCCATGGTTTGGCCGATGTTTCATTACTGCACCACTACTACGGCGACAAAGACCGAGTAAGGATGTAAACACTTCAGACCTCATGTCTCCTTGATTTCGGTATTTCCCCCTTTTTTATGTATTCATTTTATTTTATACTAAGGCTGAGTGATACCTAATGATCTCAGACCTAATACTGCTAACTGCTTCGCACTTGCATGTCAACTGGATAATAAGATTCCAATTTTGAAGCACAGATCTAGACGATTTTAAACGAAAAGTTGTGGATTGTTTTAGATCTCTTATTATTCTGGTATTTTGTTTTTAAACCGGCAGGTCATCTGTTTAATATGATAATGTTGAATATTTAGAGTCTGTTGGTATCTATAGTTTGGAATTTGTTGTAGATCCATACCAAATGAATGACACGAACGCTGAGTGATGATTAACAAAGGATCTCAGATGTATTCAACCGTATTTGGATTTCTCCTAAATTGTTTTTTTGTATCAGTTATTTATGAAGGCTGAGTGATATTGAATGATCTCAGACCATATTGATATATGTCTTGTACTTGCATTTTTTTAATTAACACTTTGCCGAATCAGATCGATACAGTTTGTAATCAAACAATAGTATTCAAAGATCTACAAGTCTTCAAGCTTTCTTTTTCTGTTGATTGTGGTGCTTTTGGTGATCCTCTTCATTGAAGAGCTGTTAGTAAGTTGGCCAATTCTATATGTTGTCAGATTCCCTGCCAGCCACCTAAGTGGCTTTCGGATCTGCGTGGTCTGGAAGTCATATATGGCCTTAATACATGTAACCTAACCCATGCCATACATTCCAGTAATGTAAAGTAAATAAAACCTCACATTTCTACAATTTTTTCAAAAACATCTTTGCATTCCATATAGTTTGGATTTCAACATGTATTGAAAAACCTATGAAATGCATAAACTTATATATTCATCAAACCATTCTTTAGTTGTGTTTCTTCAAAAAAGCATATGCATACAACCATCAACATAACATTACATTACAATCATTACATAGAATACAAACATGGCCTAGGATTATTTGAGATCATAAATGTCACACAATTTGCAAAAAACAAAACAACTTGGCTCTTACATATCCCACAAAAACCATAGACATATTTCATGTACATAGTATGCATGAATACAGTCATGCCATTTTAAGCCAACCAAAACTCATCCCCACAGTGACGTTTTCATTGAAGTACTTGTAGTTGAGTGTTACAGACCGACCTGATCTTCTAGGTATTATAGGGACTGCATCTAGGCATTGTTGACATTGTTGGCATATGTAATTCCCAGTATACCTTTTCTTGTTTAGAGGCCTCATGTAGTAAAAATGACCTAAATTTTTATTACACCAATAGCATGGTACCAACCAAAACAGCCCCGGGTGTTTTCCACATGCATGACATTTTGGAGCATTGCATTTTGAACATGAACATCACCTCATCTTAAACAGCAAAGTTCAATTTTTGTCATTAAGTTTTTTAGAAAATAAAAGTATTAAAACTGATTTCAATTTTTTTCATTATGTTTAGCATAAAAAAGATTTCACTGGTACTTATATCATTTTTAGATCATTTTGTCATTCAAAACCATAGTAGAAAACATACCTTAGGTTTGTGTAGAAATATCAATGCTCAGACTTTATACTCGAAACAGTGGCAGCCTGCTTTGTTTAGATGTTATGGTTGAGCTGAGTAAATGAGTTTCTCAGCAGGGAGTCAATGCATTTACAATGGTATATATGCACCCAGACTGCAGTAATGGTTATTGACCACTGGTAAGTACTATTTGTTATTAATTGTGATATGTACCTGCTGCCTGTGCTCATTTAATGAGCAGACCTACACGCCATCCTAGTATTGGGATCCTGCAGGTTGGTTCATTTAAGCTGAAAATGAACTATTAAAGATTTTTTTCAAATACCTTCTCTGGAGTACACTCATGGCTTTCATTTGATACCAATTGCTCATGATTTCCTTCATACATTGCCAGCACATTAGGATATCGAATCATACTAACAACTCCAAGGGAAACAATACCTTTATAGGCATTCTCTTCACCTCTCTTCTTTAGCTGTATTTTGAATATTCCCTTTTTGTCAATCAAGTTTTCAATATCTTCTGGAAAACGGGTTGGATCACCTGTTTTCTGTTTTTTTTGCCAAGTTGCATTATGAAATAGAATGAGTGGTCTACATAGAATAAAATATAGATGTTACCTTTTGGACTTCAGCCATTAGGGATGCAGAAGTTTTCCCCAGAATCTCAATACATAAAATTTTCGTGCCCGGTGTTGTCCATGATGCACACACTGACCTTGTAACTTAATCATTATCAGGTCCATGATGTGTTAGTTTATTTGAAATTCATATTTGTAAAACAATACATTAACCCCAACAACATTATCTCTGGCATCAAATAAGGTGATATTATAGTACCGGTAGACTCCTTCTCCTAGTGTCACATTGCAAGTAGAACACCTGAACCTCTCCTCCTCCGGTACCAATTTTTTGTGACATGTTGGGCAGCTTAGGTAGCACCACTCCCTAGTATTTTCGATAGAAACTATCTCACCAAGCACCCAGTAAATCTCCTCCTATTCATTCAAAATGTTTTTGACACACAATGATTACAACCAATTACAAATGCTGCTTACAAAAATCCCTCTAACACATATTTACCTCAGTTGCATTCATCAAATCCTCCATAGTGGTTATGACAGCATGACCACTAAGCACATCCCTACTCCCTTCACCTTGTGAGCAGTTTGTGTTGCATGTTTGAGATATGGAGTCATCACCATCCGCCGAAAATCTATTATTTGTTTCATTGTGCAAAGTAAGTTATTGTTTTTAAAAACTTACTATTATTATTAGATAATTATAAGCAAAAAAAATTTATGAATCGTACTCGCTCTGGAACTCTAAGAATTCGGTTGTGTTTCCATTGATGATGAGTTTGGACACATCAAAAGATGAAGCCACACTTAGGGTGCCTGCTTGTAAATAACATTGTTAAGCAACAGTTGATGATACGTTGATATTGTTGAAATAGCAAAATTAGATGTTGTAATACCTTGATATCTTTTGGGTCTACACAGTTGAAATATCACAAAAACAGCAATTCCAGGGTTCTCATTAACATAATCCTGATACTGGTTTATATATTTGTTCCATAAAACACAACCTAGTCTGTTTCCCCTGTAATTTCAAAAAGATTTTAGCCATTAGCATAACAAATTATTTCCGTACCCATAACATTTCTAAATGAAAAAAAAAATACTCTGGGTCTGCCACAGTTAGCTCCATTAGCCTTTCTGTCTTCCCATTGATGGTATGGGTTTGAACAATGCTTTTATTGATAATCTTCCCAATGATATCTGAAACAGTGGAATGGAAACTGTTGTTAGCATAGTTCCATAAGTTATTTAGTTAGGTCTATAATTTGATTTTACCCACCAATGAGAGTTTTGTCGTTGATAACCCTTTGGGCGTGCAACATATCGAAAGGTTGTAAATCGTAGACCATCATAGGCAATTCTGTCTTCGTATCCTCCCTGAATTGGGTTTTAGAGATGAACTGAATCAGGTAGGGATGATTTGTGGTCTTCACTGTTTGGTAATTGTCTAGAACTAAGAAGTTCCTTATAACATAGATCTTGTGCTCAGTTATTATAGTCTTGTACATGGCAATCTGTGGTCTCTTGATTATTGCATGAATCCGATCTCCCTATTTTACAGATTCAAAAGTTAACAACGTACGTTTTATCATATAAAATATTTTTGTTAGAAGAATAAATTGTACCTCGGCGTCATGCAAAACCATCTCAAGGGTCTCCCCTCCTTTTGAGTGAGGAGGCACCTCATAAGCCCTTACAACCCTAACCTTCAGAGCCCAGGTAGACTTGGTGTGATCAATGTCCTTGATCATAGACCACATCCCCGCTGTAGATGGCCCTGCCATTGTTTAGTTTAAACTCTAAATCTGGAATTGCTCATTTGTGGTGTGTCTAGAAAATCTTTCACTTGGGTATTTATAGTGGCCGGGGAGAGAACAGCTTCTGCCAAAGGGGTATTAACCAAGGGATAATTTCCCAGTTAATCTTTAAATTGGGATTGTGGCGTACAAAATCCTTTTATTGTGATGTAAAGATAGTATAGTGCATTTAATGTTTGTGTGGCTCAAGACTTGCTCTGGGATTTTTTTTGTACTTTCAAAGATTGGAATTAATGCTGGAGAGCTTGGTTGTGGTGTGCTCCTCCAACCCACCACTTGGGTATTTATAGTGGCAGATGAGAGCTTCACATAAAACACTTGGTTATTAACCTATGGTTATATGCATTACTCAATCTTTACTTTGAGATTTTATAGTACAAACATTTAATGTTTGTGTGGCTCAAGGATGTCATTAATTGTTTGTGTGGCCCTCAAGGCCAATTTTATTGATTACATAAACTTCACTGTTCGAAATTTGAAGAGTGAAAATCCTTGGATTGAGCATTAAATTTGTGTCTTGAGCCACACAAAAGCATAATTCACCATTGGGGAGAGGTACGAAAATTAAATATATCATAGTACAACTCATTAAATGTTTTTTGTGCCTCAAGATTCATAAGTACAAATTCTGATATTTTTTATTCATAAAAGCATCACTCAGTCAAACTGCAGCATTGGATATTGTGCCAATTTTCAAGCTACCACTGAGCTGCTGCAGACCCGTTTCTGCACCCATGAATAATTGGACCTAACCTGTTAGTGTAAAGTGTTTGGACGGGAGTACTGTACAGTTTTTCTCTTGCTTTTGTATAATAGAAGTTTAGGAATGATTTAATTTAGAAACAATCTACCTGTCAACAGTTTTTCCGCCTTCTCCAAAAGTTCATACGAGCTCTAATTCTTTGGATGCAAGAAGGTTTCAAATCCCTTTTAGTTCCGCTTCACTTTCTTCCAACAAGATTTCTTCTTCCGTGATTCGTTTCCGAAAATCAACGGAACTAAATCGAGCTTCGGCCAAATCCTTGTCCAGTCCTCCCACAAATTTATCTGAAGACGTTGGGGAGGTGATTGGAGAAATCAGTATACTTCGTCCTACGGGTGAAACAGTAATGTTTAAGCAGCTCTGGGATCAAGCAGAGGTGAATTAGATTTTTTTCTTTCCATTTCTTGATTTAGCTTAAATCCTTTAAATTTCTTATTCTCTTCATGCTATTTCACTTATTCTCCTTCTTATATAAACATTCGGATTCCAGGGAGTATCCGTTGTAGCACTTCTGAGGCATTTTGGTTGCGTTTGCTGGTAATTTCTATCCTCTTCGCCCTTCTTCTTCTTCTCCTTGTCTTTTTTCCTTCTCTAAGAACTTTTATTCAAATGATTGTTAGCTAAAGAATTTAAGAGCTCTTCACATTTTTATGAATTGTCAGCTGGGAACTTGCAGCAGCACTCAGAGATTCCAAACAAAGATTTGATTCTGCGGGCGTGAAGCTGATTGCTGTTGGTATTGGGTCGCCAAGAAATGCCCAGATTTTTTCTGGAAGGGTATTTCCATTCATTTTTCTATTTTCAATACTACTTAGGGCTGTTACCTAGCTAAGTAACTAGTCTAAATGTCTGTTTGCAAACACTTAAAAAAACCATTTCTGGGCTTTTTACTTAAAAAAGCTAAAATTACTGTTTTCAAGCGACAACTTCTATTTATAAAAGAGCTTCTCAACTTTTGGTTGAAAAGTGTTTTTTACTTTTTCTATTACACAAAAAGCACATGTTTTACCAAACACTATCGACTTTTACTTTTCAAAATACTTTTTTCTCAAACACTATCAACTTTTACAACTTTTACTATTAATCGTTTTTTCCAAAATCACTTCAGAAAGTGCTTTTTAAAGCAAAAGCATTTGCAAACACTCCCTAAATACCCTAGCGTTCGAGCTTACAGGAGCAGGGCTTTCATTGAGGCGTCCAACTGAGTTTTACTATAGATCTTCAATTGGCGCCTCTTTAGGTCCCTTATTCTCCTACGTGCCCATTTCCGTTATATCCCATAACACCTTAGGTTCATTAAGTTACCTCTGTGAAGATAAGAGTGCTGTTAGAGACTTGTTAATATAGTTAGCTTCTATATACTCGTTATAACAAACTTTAACTGTATTAACAGTTTCATACTCTTGTATACATACCCATGTACACAGACCATTATGGAGTACGTTCCATTTTTCTCATTCCCAATGTTACTTCTTCTTCATATCTGTGTTCAAACATTTCCACCACCTCCCTTCAAGCTTTTCTTGTCCCCCAGGATTCAAAAGATGAAATTGAGGTGTCAAATGGTATAAGCCTTTTTAAAGGAATTTTCGAGAAGTAAATGATACCATTGCACCATTATCCCCACTCTCACAGCATTTTTCTTTTTACCATTTGCTCATCAGCTTATCTAAGATTCTCAAGATCGATATTTTACTAATGACCGGGGTGAGATACTCACGCCATTTGACGCACATATATATCACCCTTTATGGAAATGAAAGCAATCAGTGTCTCAGTGAATCTATCAAGACCAATCAAAGCATCAATGAGAGGATTATACTCAATGATATTTGCTTAAATGGTTTTTGATATTCTTGCCATAGATCATTATTGGCATGGTATCAGGAAAATTGATTATTAATTATGTTTCACCTTATTTAAGTATTGTGATAAATTAAAAATAAGGGCTCCCGTTACCATAGTAGGCATTGACATATTAGTGAAATGGTGACTCGATTAACAGCTGGCAGCCCTAGGCTGTTGGTAAGTTAATGCGCTGGGGAATACCTTTAGGTATTTCACTTACTTTTCTTTCTACTTTTACTCATGTTTCTTCTTTTTTATTTCAGTTTTATGATTTCTTCTTCTTCTTTTACCAAGTATTATTTTTCTCTTCCCACTTACTCTCTTTCACCATTGTGGTCAGGGAACAACATAATTTTGATCTTAAAAATATTATTTGGCATCTCCATTTTTTTCTTCAGAAGCTTAACTCTAATGTCTTTGTGACATATTCAATTGTATTCCATTCCATAGCGGCTACCATCCACAAACTGACACATCTTATGGAATACGAAATGTGATCGAGTTGTTGTAGAAATATGTGAACTATTTGGAGGGCCTGCTTCCTCCTCCATACTCTTCTTAAAAATTCTGTCGATAGTTCATAGTTGTGTGATAACTAACACCCCTCCTCTTGAATATAATTACAGGGTACTATTCTATCTCTTTTTCCCTTATTCCCATCCTCATCGTAAAACATCCTTTTTCATCAACAGAAGTTGTCATCTATATGTTATGTTTTTGCAACCCAACTATAATGTCCCACATTTACTGCCAAATAACGTCTTTGATAGTTTTGCACACTCCAACATCTTTCTTAGTTCTTTCTAAATGTTTCTTAAATATATTTTCCTTATCAACTCTAAACTCCATGAGGCCATACTTCTTATGTCGGTCTTTTTGTCCACTCGCCAGGCTCTTCTACTACTCTCCACACCTGAATTGGTACCTACAAGTGAGCCATCATTCCCACCAGCAGTCCCCACTGAGACCATTTTTATCTGAGCACAGGCACTTCCATGCGTGGCAGAACTGTAACCAAATAAATAAGTCAAATAACATTGGGTCATGCAATTGTGCTAATAAAAAATACTCTAAATTCAGCCTAATGCTAGTGTTCTAATTGAAGTTATCTTTTACTGTCTTTGTACTACCTATGTCCCATTTTATGTGTCCTACTTTGTTTTGGCACAATTATTAATAAAGTGGGTGAAAAAGTAAAAGTTGTGCTTAAGATTTGAGTATAGTAAAGTGAAATGTTGTAGACCACATATTTCTTTCCAAAAAAAGAAATGTGATACTTAATTTGGGACGACCCAAAAAGGAAAGTAGAACAGGTAAAATGGGGCGGAAGGAGTATATCTTTTCTCATCAATATTAACAATAATTTTTGTGTGCTTTTACTCTATGATACCCCTTGATGTCTTTAAGGAGCCCATTTTAGCACACTTTAATGCGTCTGCACTACCATTCTAGAAATAAAGGCACATGGGGTCTTTAGGGTGTGAGAGTGGGCACATTAGGGTGTGCCCACATGGGTTACTTAGAAGAACTTGGAAAATAAGAAACTGGGTTGAACTCAATGATTTATTCTTTGTATTTTTTCAAGCTCACTTCATATATTTATAAATGTATGTTAACTTAAAGGGTAGTCTTGGCACATCAATTAAGGTGTTGTTATGTTACCGAGAGGTACGGATTCAAGTCTTGGGAGCAACTTGTTAAAAAATTGACAGGGGAAGACTTTGGTGGGACCCTTCCGCAGATCCTCACCTTGAGGAGATGCCTTCGTGCACCGGGCTGCCTGTTATAAATACTCCCTCCATCCCTCAACTAAAGTCACAGTTTGACTTTATGGTCTTCTAGCCTTCTAGGTAGACGTTTGACCGTAATTATCTAAAATATATACCTATATAATCTATGATAAATTAACATTTGAATAATTCATATTATAATGAAGCACATAAAATTAATTTTATGTGATAAAATATTGTTAATTTTGAGTCATTAACAGTCAAAGTTTAAGAAGTTGGACTCAAAAGTCATACTGAGACTTGAATTGAGGGACGGAAGTAGTATATGTTAACATTTTATTTCTTGAGCATTTATCTCTTTTCTCTAGCATTATCCAGGATCCACACTTACTCTAACAGAAACTTGACCATATTGAAAGACAGGAACACGTAAACTTTGGGAAACATCACACCTTTAGGCAGATGTTTACTATCAGAATTTAGAGGGTTAGCTTCAAGAGGAGAAGAGAGAAGCATGCTAGTGAATACTAGATTTGCTTGAGGTGCTGCTTCGAGAGGATTACTCTGCTTCAAGAGGATTACTCTGCTTCCTCTATGTTTTTCTGAGAACCCATCAACTTGTCGTACTCATCTTGTGAGAGAGTTAGAGAGCCAGTTTGCTCATTCTATACTTACCAACCAATCGATGAGCTTGTTTTCTATTGAGAAGCATGTCATTGTGTCACTCACTTTTGATTATAATTATAATTAGGGAAAGAACCATACCATAAGTTCATCCCAGAGCTATTTCAACTGTCTAAAGACTCTCACTGACAATTAGATGCTCTTGTTGCATACCTTAATGTGATAATCTTCCCTTTTACATTAAGAGCCCGTTTGTTAACCCTGCTTTTCAGCTTCTCAACCAACTTTTTTACCAAACATGTAACTTTTGATTTCGCGCGTTAAATAGTGTAATAATCAAAATAAGTAAGGTCGGAGTTACTTTTCTAGGTGCATTGGCTGAAGTTACTCTAGATGACGATTTTAGCTATTTTTTCATATAATTTTTTATTTCTTTAATTAATGAAAAGTATTTTAAATATATTTTTTTTAAAAATCAGCAAAATCAGCCGATACAGCCACTTCATCCAAATTTTCATAAATTTTAGTAGAATCAGCCGATTCAGCCAATTTCAGTGTTACCAAACGGGCACTAAACATTCAGTAAAAAAGCCGTGGCTAAACATCTCTTCCAGATCTTTCCACACGCCACGGCTAAACCTCTCTTCATTACCCTTTATTCAGTAATGCATCCATTTATGCAATATGTTCTTTACTAATTACTGGTAACGGCCTAAAGTTGTGAAACCAAAGCCATTTTAAATTCGAATACTAATTGGGCTTCCCACATGATTAGCACCCAGTCTTGTACTTCACTTGCAAGATATGCTGAATTGCTGGTTGACAATAATCTTTATGATGCTTATTTTTGTTCATTAATGTCATGAAATCTAAAAAATCAAAAGCTTATAAATGCAGGAATGAAAACTGCTTTGTTAATATTTGTAACATCTAAAGATGGTTATCATGTGGTAATATTTTTCTTTTAATTTAGACTGAGAACAGATAGTCATACTGCAGTGCGTCATTATCTGATTTTTTTGTTCTAAATAATTTGCCAATTTTATTTGTGTTCAGTTGCCTTTCCCGTGGGAGTGTCTGTATGCTGATCCTGATCGCAAGGTAAGACCATTTTTTTCTTGCTACATGCGGAGTATGTAATCTGATCTTTGCATTATATGGCTCTTCTGACTCTTTTTTTGGAAGATTGGCTTATAATGCTCTAGGCTTGTACTATGGGATCGGCCGCACATTTTTCAACCCAGCCAGTGTACTCACGTCATTTCTCCCTTTTTACTAATCTAAAGATCTTCATGAACATGTTCTATATGGTATTTACCCAGTTTATTTCCTGCCTTTCTGTACATGTGGCAGGCTAAAATATTTTCTAGATTCAAAGAATTACGAGAAGCGAACAAAAACTACACTATTGAAGTCACCCCAGATGATAAAAGCAGTGTTCTTCAACAGGTTCGGTTTCTGATCCGGGTCTTCCTCGGCAGTAACTCCATGGTGGAGTTACATGGACGATCCTGATTGATTTAGAGTAACCTTTCCCATCATTTAGATCACAATGGATCGTCCATTTAGTAACTTTACATTGGAGTTTGCTGCATACAATCAGTTTCCTTTAATATTGTCCTCAATTGAAGTACATGCTTTGAGATGGCAAAAATACTTGAGAGAGCAAAACTGTCATCTTTTTAGGGAGGAATGTTTGTGTTTAAAGGGAAGCAACTGGTATATGCACGGAAGGATGAAGGGACTGGTGATCATGCCCCTTTGGATGATGTTTTTAAGGTCTGCCACGAAGTTAGTTGATTGTAAGGAATGTCTGCTAGAGTTTATCCATTATTGTTCTTCTAGTATAATAATAATAATACTCCTATACCCAAAAAACTCACTTTTAACTAGTCATTTGTAAATAGCAAGGTTTGGGTTCTCCTAGCTTGTATATTCAGGATACATTCTCACCTCGGATGCGCTTGTAATTGTTCCGTAGGACATGAGAAAACTGAGACGAGATTGAAAATCCACTAGCAATAGTAAATGTCATTTGCATGAATAATTATGACAGAATGATGAATTGAGATAATTTTGCCAAGTATCATATCTGATTTTTGGGATGTAACCTCTAATGGAAACTTGATTTGCCAAACAGCTGTTTTAGAGTATTATGTTACTCCCAATCAAGGACAATAGAAAGTAACGACGACATAAAAGTTGAGACTTCAAACTTCTAGGCGGGTCTAGTACCCGAATCTGCGCCAACCCCGTTTTTGTGTCTTCCGCTTCCACTTCCTACATTCGGTGTAGCTTGGTAGCTTCCCCATCTACCACTCTGCTTTCAGAACCGTACTCACGCTTTCCATCCTTCCTCCCAAAACATTATTGGAAATAAGGTGTTGTAGGATGAATTCATCACTTTCTGTGGCTCTCACTGGCCAGCACAAATCATAGTGTCGTTGCTGCCGCCTCCGTTGCAATCCCAATTCCAACAACGATGAAGCAGAATGATGATCAGTACTAACTTTAACAAGAGGCAAGAAGACTGCAACGACACAAATCATAGTGTCGTTGCTGCCGCCTCCGTTGCAATCCCAATTCCAACAACGATGAAGCAGAATGATGACTAGTACTAACCTTAACAAGAGGCAAGAAGACTGCACCGATGTATTTGTTAATGATGGAAAAGTAAGGTTGCAAATGATTCTCGATCTGTCTGTTTTACTTTTTCACATATATTTTTGTTCAGTTTATATGTAACTATTTCATATTTAGCAAATTCAAACAATTTAGGAACCATTAACATGGGAAACCATACTATTAGACTAAACATGGGAAATTGATCAGAACAAGAATAGACATAATGAAACAGAACCGATCCAATCAGACTAAAACAAATAAAATATGATTGATACATAAATAGTGGAAATAATGATACTACTACTACTAATAATAACAACATCGACAACGTTGACGACGACAACGCTAGGGGTGGACTGGGATGGGTCGGACTGACTCGAGACTTGGCTCGAGCCGACATTGTGCAGGCTTGACCCGGCCCGGTGACCTGGGACCGGAATCGGGACGGGGGGGCGAACCGGGTAATTCAAAGGACGGCTACGGGCTTCAAAAAAGATGGACCGGCCCGGTCCGGGGCCAATTTTTTCACTGGGTTAACCTAGCTGCTAGGTGGGTGGGGTTGGGCGGTTTGGGGGTTTTGGGGGGGGGGGGGGATTGGAATTAATTCAAAAGGACAAAAAAAAAATGTTTCATGCCTGACCTGGTCCGGTCTCGGCTCTAACCTGGGCCGGTACCGGGCCTGAATATATTGGACCCGGAACTCGCCCCTCCCCGAGCCCAGTCCACCCCTAGACAACGCCAACAACGACGATGACATCGCCGCCACCGATGATGATGACGACCACTACTACAACAACAATAAGAATAATGAAAAATATACATAAGGGGGTGACACACAAATCAATAAAAAGTGGGAGTGACACGCAAATCAATAAAAAGTGGTTTATGTGGTTGATATTGAATTGATAAAGTAAAAATAAAGTAAGAATGATTTAGAGCCATACAAACTTTGCCAAATTTGGTATGAGACAATCATAGTGGAACGGACCGATAAGGTAAAACGGGACAATCATAGCGGGACGGATGTAGTACCATTCCCGATGAAACAATATTTACGCTATTACGTAGAACATAAAATCAATGATACTAATCCTTTTTCGCATTTATATAAAGCTTTAATGCGTTTATAATCCCTGCAAAATGACACACTTTGTTTTAGCTCGCTACAAATTTTTTTTACATTCATGTAATATGCACTATTTTGTTTTTAGTCCTTCTCTAATTTCGAAACTACTCAGAACAAAAAGTTATTGTTAGTTGCATAAATCTACTGGAAATATTTAAATTTATCTTTTTATAATTTTTTTGAGGTTAAGATGAGAGTTGAAATAATGTAAACCTAAGTAAGTATTCACATTTTAAAAAATATAGATTAAAAGCCATCGGAAAAAAGGTGAATACTTTTTTAATAACATAACAAAGAATTAGAGGAAATCTATTAGTCGGGGTTATTTTGAGGTCAACCGAAGGTTGTTATCATTGATGATGGACTAAAACGAAAATTAACATAAATTGCAGGGATGTAAAACAAAATGTACTATATTTGCAGGGACTAAAAACATATTTAAACCTTTATGTAATTACACAAAACATAACTTCTTTTGCATTTAAAAAATTGAGTTTTTTCAAAATTATTACTAATATGTTTCGGCCATCAGTGGCGGATCCCTTTCGTTCAAGTTTGAAAATAAAGTGCAAAAAAAATATAAAATTGATGTTATAATATATATATATATATATATATATATATATATATATATATATTGTATTTGTATACAATATTTCCTACTCTAACTATATTTGCTAGTTTTTTGTAGTTGAAAAAAATCTTCAATTGTTTGATCAAATAATATTATTGTGTAATACGTACGAGTAGTATTTTATTAGTGTTAAAATACTTTTTCAAAATCACACATTTTATTGCAAGATCCCCCTCCCAATGTGGAAATTATATCCTACATCCGGATGTACGTGTACATCCGGTTATTTTGTAATTGTTAGCAACTTTAAGCCTTTGTTCTCTCATCTTCAATTCCTTCTCGTTGGATCTTCATTCCATCTTCTTTCCTCTTCCGCCGTCTTCCTCTTTTCCCTTTTCTCGTTGGATCTTCGTTCCATTTTCTTTTCTTTTCTCTTCAACCGTCATCTCCTTTTCTTTCGCTGCCATACTCTTCGTTCCTCTTTTCGTTGTCATTTCTGATTGTTACTTTTTAGTTTCGTCTTTACTTTTATTGGTAGCTGGTTAGTTTGACTTCCTTTTGTTTTGTCTTTTTTTTACTTCTTTCTGATTTGTTTTTTTAGTTCTTTTATGATTTGTTGTTTACTTCCTTTTCTTTATATATTAATTAATACTGAACATATTAGAAATGAGTTTTACTTTATACTCAAATGAGTAAAACGCCTAAAAAATGAACATACAGAAATGAGTTTTTGAATTTTTGGATACTAATTTTGTAAGTTATGTATGTTCATTTAATATTTCTGTTATGCTCATTTTTAAAATGTTTTAGCAATGTATATTTTAAAAGTCTCATATTACATTATGTTAGTACCCAAGTCTGATAAGATTTTGATGATGCCACTATACTAAGCACGTGTACATTGTGTCTCATTTTATTCTAGTATTAACGTGACAAATTAAATGTACAATTTTTGGGTCTATGAAACATTACCGGAAAAGTAAAAATGGAAGAAGGCAAAATTTCTTTGCCTTAATAGGATGCTTAAATCCTACCGGCAAATGCTATTTTGACTCAAAAATATTATTCGTATGTCACAAAGCTCGAAAAATCAAATAGATGATTGACCGGCATTTAATGCCAAATACGTACAGGGCCCGGAGCACTGAAGACGCAAATAAAAGAAATACTTCAGCAATCAATTGAAGACAAAAACAGACGGAAGTTAATGCTACAACAGGTACATGGACCTACAACATGGGCGCACAAGTCTGAAGCCTAAAAAGGCATCAACAGTGGCTAGGCGGGCAAGACAAGCATAACCCATACGCTCCGAAGAAGAAAATAAACAACAAGTTGTTTATCTTCTGCGAACAAAATTCAACACACAAGATTGATCTATCCTAACCAACAGATAAGATCAATTAACCGGAGAGCCTATAAATATAGGCAGAAACGAAAGTTTCTAACCAAGCATTTAAGCATCCAAAGAGAGAATTTCTATCTAGAGCATTTACGAAAGATCTAGCAAAAGAGAAAGTGCAATTCTAAAACTTTACTCTCTGCTTGGACTTATGCTTCACTAAACTTCCAGTTTATTTTCATTGCCATATTATAGAAGTTTAGTTCCTAGTTGGAGGTTAGAACTTTCTTGAAACAAATCACATATTGTTGTAAACACTTAGGAGAACAGTTGTTCGGATCCTACAGTGTAAGTAGATAGATAGAGTACCTTTTGATCCCCATTGGGTCATTAGAGAAAAGTCTAAGGACTGAGTAACTTTGAGTGGTGCTATACTCACTGTGAAAAACCTTCAATCTAGGCCTAAGTGTTGTAAAGGCTAGATTGACACTAAGTGTATTGGGCTTAATACTTTAGTGAAATCCATCTGAAAGAGGGTGGGACTGGACGTAGGAGGATTACACCACCTCTGAACCAGTATATACTGTGTGTTGATTTACATTCAGTAAACAAAGCACACACTTAGCACTTCTCACAAAAAGGATTGAAGTTTGCCAGCAGAATCTTAAGCAGTTGTCTTAACTGACCCAACTGCTTATCCTACTGCTTAATCACTTGCTTTCTTTGAGACCATTTTCACACCTGAGACGCACCTCACCATCTCTAAAAGGTCTGCTATATCATCTCCCAGTAATTCACTTTCTAAGTATAGCAGGTACCTCACCAGTTCCCTGAGACCACCCAACTGCTGAGCCCTCTGCTCACATAAAAATCACTTCCTGTGACCATCTCAGTTTCATCAGCCTGCCATAAATATCATTGTCAAAAAGGTACGTTCAATTCCTGAAAGTCAGATCAAAATCTGAGCAGTTGCCTCAGCAGTTCCCTACTACCTAGCCAACTGCCAAGCCAACTGCTAGCCATCTAAGTCCAATCCTCTCCAGATCAGAAAGTGATTAAAACATTCATTATATAAAGGGTAAAGACTTCCGCTGTGCATCTATTAATCTCTCAAAAGATTATAGATCAACTCTACTAGAGGGAAATATTTGTAAGGGTCGAAAAGATTTAGAAGTCTATTCACCCCCCCCCCCCCCCCCCCTCTAGACTTTTACCCTATCCGGGACCATCAAGTGGTATCAGAGAGGAGTGTTCCTAGAGTCAGTTCCTGACTAATTTGAACTAAAGATCCAAAGTCACTTCCCTCTCACAAACACTTTCTAAACGATGGACAGTCAACTAGCCAAAAACCTCCTATTCAACCTAAACAAATTTGATGATTGGAGAATCAGGATGAAGGCACATTTTAGTGCCTTACATGATGAAATGCTGGAAGTAATCACTACCGGACCTATC